AGCGCAGTAACTGTTTCAATACCACCGTAAAAATTTTATGCGTCGAAAATATAAAATTTTATGCTCGAATATATTCACATTTGCGCGATAAAATTTGATAAATTATGGACCACCGTTTTAGAACGGATACAAATAATTCAATCGGTGAACTGTTCACAATTGCACCTCCCTTATCGATGCGAACACATTTCATGGTAAATAATAAATTCTTTTCAGTGTTTGATGTAAAATATATTTCAGGAATATTTTTTTCGATTTGCCAGCTGATCCGAGAATGAATTTCGGGGACTTATAAATTGCAGGATGAAAGTTGAATTAATTCAATTGGGAGTTTTTAATTACTGTGATGTATTTTATGACGAGTATTATTGGTATATGATGAATAGTAATGTTATTGATGAAGAATAGAAAATAATGATTGTTTATTGATTATCAACGAAAGTGATTACTGCAATGACTTGGTTTATGACGATTATTGGTAAATGATAAATACTAATGTTATTGATGAAGAAGAAAACAATGATTGTTTATTGATTACCAACGAAAGTGACTACTGCAATGACTTGGTTTATGATGATTATTGGTGAATGACGAATACCAACGTTGTTGATGAAGAATGAAAGAAATTTTTTATTTGTTACGAACGACTATTGTTACGACTATCACGAAATAATTTTCTTGAAAATTCGATATACAATAAAGTATATAATTTTCTTGGGAATTTTATATAAGAATATAATGAATTTTGTTGGGAATTCGATGTGCAATGAACTGTCTTGAAAATTGGATACACAATGGAGTACGTATTATGAACTTCCTTGTGAATTCGATATAAAGGACGAATATAATATTTATTAAAATAATATTTTATTGGTTATGGACCAAATAAGTTTTTGATGATGATTTTTTAACAACTTGACATATGAAGAAGAATGTGACGGTTGTTGAAGAAACCTTGGTAGAGATATCTGATCACTTATTAATTGTATAGGTTTTTATTTATGAATTCGATTACTGTAACTAAATGATGATTTTTTAACAACTTGACATATGAAGAAGAATGTGACGGTTGTCGAAGAAACCTTGATAGAGAATTCTGATCACTTATTAAATGTATAGGTTTTTATTTACGAGTTCGATTATTGTAACGAAATGATGATTTTCTTGAGAACTTGGTACGTGAAGAAGATTATGACGTTTGTTAAAGAAACCTTGATAACACTTATAACTCAAATAAATTTGTATTCATGAGGACGATTAGCACGGCAGTATGGCTGTCATTCGTACTTGATAATCAAGTACATGATGAAGATTGATGGTGAATTCGAAATTATAATTTTCGATGACTTATCGATCACATAGCGATGTAACAATGACCACAATTGCTGCAACTACTATGGTTTTCATCTGACTTTGACATATAGGCAAGTACATGACGAAAGTAGATGAAAAATTCAAAATAATATTTGATCAATTATCAATCAAATAAGTATCTATTGATGTTTAAAATCACTATAACGGAATGGTTATCATTTCTGCTTGATATGTAAGTAAGTAGATAAAGCTTGATAATTCGAAGTGATAACTTCCGATGACTTATCAATGAAATAACCTTGTATCAGTAACTTAGGTTAGGTTACATATCTGAACTTGGTATATGAGCATAGACAAGATGAAAATAAATGAAGAATTGAATAGATTTTAATCACTAAATCCACAATGATTTTTGGTAATTTATCAGTCAAATACTCATGACTGCGGTTACTGCAACAAAATGGCGGATGTAAAATAAGCGAAGATATTGAGAAATCTAAAACAACAATTTTTTATGAGTTGCTGACTAAAATAATTTGGTTATTGTGATGAAATGATGGATTTTTTGAACTTGATACAGAATGAAATTTCAGGGAAGGAACTTACGAAAGAAAATAAGATAGCGATACGTGATAAGTCACTGGCCAAAATAATTGTAACTATTGGTGCACGACCTGTCACAATTAATAATTTTCTTATAAAATTTGGTATCCAATGAAGTAATGAGTATGGCGAAGAATTAGAGATAATTTCTGATTAGTTATCAATTAGTTATCGATAAGTTTCTACCGATGACTGTGATTACTGTAACAAAGTGAGGATTTCATCTCAATGTACGAAGAAATACAAGTCGGTTGTTAAAGAATTCTTGATAGTGATTGATCACTTATCAATCAAATAAACTTGTCTCACTACACTTATTATAGCAAAAAGCAGTTTTCATTTATGCTCTTGCTGCATAAGCAAGCATTCGATGAATGTAGATGTTGAATCCAAAACAGTGATTTTTAATCAATCATCAATCAATTAAATCTGTATAACTGCATTACAAAGAAATAACGAAGTTTCCTTCTAAACTTCACACATCACGAAATATGCGAGGAAGATATTCATGAAGAATTCAAGAGAATTTCTGATCAATTACCAAACAAGATTACTATATTATAACTGATGGAACTATTTTAACGAAATCAAGATATGAGTTTGGTGTATATTAAAATAATTTAGGTTGCTGAAGGATCCCAGATAATTTTCGATCAGTCAAGTATGGTTGATTTGATTGTCAGCAGCAAGATGCCATACGACGAACTATATGAAGACTGCGCAAGAAAAGAAAAAAGATTTTCAATTCTTCATAAATAGGAATCGTTATTTTGTAAATTCGGTATACCACAATCTATGAGATTGATGAAGAACCGAATATAACGACGTTTTGATACAGTATCAATGAAATAAATTTCAACGGCAACGAAATGGTGAAGTGATCGTTTATAAACTCGATACACGAGGTATACGATGTTTGATGAAGAAACTCAGATTCTTGGTCAATTTCCAATCAAATAACTTTAAATTATCTGAAAACAATTATAAATCCATTAATCGGATCAATTGCTACTAATGTAACGAAATGGCAGTCTTCTCAAATTGACAATATTATGGAAAAGATGAGGATTGAAGAATTCAGGATAACAAATTGCGGATGATTCAATAATCGAATACTTTCATATCGATGATGGACAGTTGTGTCACAAAGTATTTTGTTGTAGATATATGACGAAGTAAAAGCTCCATGAAAAATCTTCCATCATCACTTTCGATCAATTATAATCAAATATGTTATTAAGTAAAAAGCAAATAAAGTATCTTCTTGCGAACTCGATGTACGAGGTATGTGAAAGTTGATGAAGAATGCTTGACAAAAACCTTTCATCAATAAATGACTGAAAGAGTCTCAATAACAGACTTCCCAACGAAATTATGACTTTTTTCTGAACTTATTGCTCGACGATCAACATTGATGAAGAATCCTTAAAAGCGACATTTGATCATGCTGTCGGTAGCAATTGCTGCGACCGAATGATGAAGTATTTTGCTGTAAATACTTAAAGTATTTGACAAACAAGATAATGTAGATAATGATTTTTCAGTTATCAACTACACAGGTCTTCATTACCGCAATTAATGTAAAGCAATAATTTGAACTTCGTACATGATGAAGTACAAGATGAAGATTAATGAAGAAACCAATACAGCGACCTTCTGATCAACTATCAATCAAATAAGTTTGCATTCCTGAGCACAGTAACGAAATGAAGATTTTCTTGCGAACTTGATACAAGATGAAATATATGAAGGTTGATGGAGAATTCTTGATTATCGATCCCTAGCTACTAACCAAGTTTATTGATGACTGCAATTATCAGAATATCCTCTTTGTGACATAATGAAGTACAAAACGTTGTCGAAGAAAAGGATGTGTACTATCAATTACATAAGTTATCGATGACTATCACCGCGAAATGACGAAGTACTTGATTGAATGATTCTGCAGTTGATATACGATAAAGTAGATGAAGCTTGACGTAGAATCTTTGACAGCGACATTTGATCATATATCAACGCAACGGGTTTGTGTGATTAATTATTGCAGTGGAATGATGGTTTCTTTAGATTTCAATTTATTCCAACACAAGGTTGAAGGTCGAAGAATTCAAGATAACGATCTTTAATCAGTTATGTTTTAAATAAATTTGATTTAGCTCTGACTAGTGCCTCCAGATGAAGTGTATGTGGACTTCATATGCGATGTGACAGGTATGTGAAGGTCATTGAAAAATGTTTGATTGCAACCTTTAATCTAAGGTCATATAGTTAACTATACTAATTATCTAATAACTCCAGTTATCCTCACTGATAACTCCGGTTGCTGCAGCCGACTAATAATTTCCTCACGAATTCATATTATAGTAAACATGAAGGTTGACGACAAAGAGAGCCATTTTTAAACAAATAATTACGTATGACTTTCGAAATGATATGAATGTGACATACGATGGTTGGTGAAGAATTCTTGATAGCGATTTTTAATCAACTGTGAATCAAATAAGTAGATATTGATTGCGCTTATTGCAGCAAAATGATCCATCTCAAATGAACTCAATATGTGAACTACATGATGAAGGATGTACGAAGCGGTTTGTAATCAGATCTACATCAAATAATAACCAGTACGAAATAGTTCTCCGCATAGAAAATTGGTGAAAAATCCTTGATATCGATCAAAGACCAGTTACTATTCATACGAGAACACTCTCAAACTATGTCACCCATTTTCACTCCGAGCATAAACACCAGAACCTAAAAAATGTATAGAACAATTCGTTCGCAACTTCCTACAAATCAAAACCTGCCAGAGTAAAATGATCATCAAAAAATCCCTAAAATTCAACTGTAGAAAAGCAACATTCCTTTATTTCCATCATCTTAAAACTCGTTCGCACTTGGTATCTGCCCGCAGCCGAATCTGGCCGCGGTCATCAACTATCCATAAACTGACGGTGGCTATAATTCACGTATCCCCCCGGAAGAAAATCGACGTCGCGACGCCGACACACATGCCTTCTAAAGGGTTGTAAATGGCTCGCACGGTATCACCGTTAACTCGGCGCCGCGCGGCGATTTCTTACCGCTCACAAACACGGCGAGGATGAGAAAAACGGTCGCGGACGGGGTAAGCTGGTTTCCCCGAAATCTTCTGACACCTCTCATGACGTCCACGTTTCTGTTCTTTCGATCACACATTCGCGCGCGGCCGTTCACAAGATCACTCGGTGTTCATCTCGTCACTTCCTGTCTGGCTGATGGTTCGCACCTGTTCCCTTATTATCCATTAACCGGTGACACTCGAACGTTTAAGTTCCCGAAAGGAAAAAAAAAACACTGACACCCACACGCGCACAAGGGACGAACAATTTGGCGATCGGTCGATCTATCGGTCGAATATGCGATGTGACAGGTATGTGAAGGTCATTGAAAAATGTTTGATTGCAACCTTTAATCTAAGGTCATATAGTTAACTATACTAATTATCTAATAACTCCAGTTATCCTCACTGATAACTCCGGTTGCTGCAGCCGACTAATAATTTCCTCACGAATTCATATTATAGTAAACATGAAGGTTGACGACAAAGAGAGCCATTTTTAAACAAATAATTACGTATGACTTTCGAAATGATATGAATGTGACATACGATGGTTGGTGAAGAATTCTTGATAGCGATTTTTAATCAACTGTGAATCAAATAAGTAGATATTGATTGCGCTTATTGCAGCAAAATGATCCATCTCAAATGAACTCAATATGTGAACTACATGATGAAGGATGTACGAAGCGGTTTGTAATCAGATCTACATCAAATAATAACCAGTACGAAATAGTTCTCCGCATAGAAAATTGGTGAAAAATCCTTGATATCGATCAAAGACCAGTTACTATTCATACGAGAACACTCTCAAACTATGTCACCCATTTTCACTCCGAGCATAAACACCAGAACCTAAAAAATGTATAGAACAATTCGTTCGCAACTTCCTACAAATCAAAACCTGCCAGAGTAAAATGATCATCAAAAAATCCCTAAAATTCAACTGTAGAAAAGCAACATTCCTTTATTTCCATCATCTTAAAACTCGTTCGCACTTGGTATCTGCCCGCAGCCGAATCTGGCCGCGGTCATCAACTATCCATAAACTGACGGTGGCTATAATTCACGTATCCCCCCGGAAGAAAATCGACGTCGCGACGCCGACACACATGCCTTCTAAAGGGTTGTAAATGGCTCGCACGGTATCACCGTTAACTCGGCGCCGCGCGGCGATTTCTTACCGCTCACAAACACGGCGAGGATGAGAAAAACGGTCGCGGACGGGGTAAGCTGGTTTCCCCGAAATCTTCTGACACCTCTCATGACGTCCACGTTTCTGTTCTTTCGATCACACATTCGCGCGCGGCCGTTCACAAGATCACTCGGTGTTCATCTCGTCACTTCCTGTCTGGCTGATGGTTCGCACCTGTTCCCTTATTATCCATTAACCGGTGACACTCGAACGTTTAAGTTCCCGAAAGGAAAAAAAAAACACTGACACCCACACGCGCACAAGGGACGAACAATTTGGCGATCGGTCGATCTATCGGTCGATGGCGCGTCCTCAGGACGACGTGACGCGAAGAAGAGCTCTTCCGGTCGACGTACAAGCGGCTACTGAGGCTCCCGCCGCAAGCACGCAGAGCTTCCAGTGCGTCGACTCGGTCGTTGCAACCCGAAAGCTCGTTTCTCCCTACCCCTGTTCCCACCCCCGTGTCGCCTCGTTCTCTTCTTTGCCCCCTCCCCTCGACTGGTCGCCCCGTTTTGCCCCTTCGGCCATTTTAGCGTCGTCGTCGTCGCGGCGATCGGCCGTGCCAGTGCGGGCTGCGCGCGCTAGAGAGCTTTCCGCGTCCTAAAGCTGGATGCTATCCGCGACGGGTGGTAGCTTTATGCGCCGGGGGGGAAGGGGTGATTGATTGGCGATGAAACTTCGCGACTGATTGAATCTTTTTTACGTTTCAATATCGATATCCCCGAGTGGGATGTACGCCACATGCCGGACCAGCTGCGTGAATGTTAAGTTCCTTCGGGGAGACGTTGAATTTCAAGGTTCGCTGATTCTTCATCGTTATTTAGGGTGTGCTGTACAGTCCAGAACAAATCTCACTTCTACATATGGATATGTTCCATATGAACTTATGGAGGAAAGAAGCTATTTTAGATTTTTGAAGATTTTGAATTTGGGGAGGAATTGTGGATTTGAAGACATGAGGGTTTACATACGGGTATTTAGGAAGCTGGCGGTTTGGGAGTTTGAGGAGATGGAAATTTGAGAATATCGGAAGCTGAGACTCTAGGGATTCGTAGGGTCCGGAGTTTGAAGACATAGGTATTTGTGGATGTAAGGATTTGAAGATCTTCCTGTGATGGGAATCTAGGAACTTGGCGATGTGGAAGTTTGGTAAACTAGAAATTTGACGGTATTGGAATTTGAGGATATAGGGATAGTAGGGGTTCTGAGTTTAAGGATACAAATATATGAAGATCTAGGAATTTGAGGACCTACGCATATGGAAATCTAAGAATTTGGTGATCTTGGAATTTGGCAACATTTGGAGAGCTAGGGATATTAAGAATTTTGGATTTGAAATATGGGCATCTCGGTACTTGGCGATCTGAGAATTATAAATCCTATAAAATTGACGATATAGAAATTTGAGGATCTAGAGGGGGCTTCCAACTTTAAGGATATAGCTGTATGGTGATCTAGGGAATTTAGGATTTACGTATATGGAAATCTAGAAATTTGGTCTAGGAATTTGAAAAGCTAGAGAACCTAGGAATTTGAGTATCCAGGAGATCAAGGACACAGGTGTTTAAAGACCTAGGAACTAAGATTTTTGGATTTGGGGATCTGAGGATATGGGAATCTAGAAACCAGGCACTCAAAGAGTTTAGAAATCTAGAAAGTGGATATAGGAATTTGAAGATCTAGGGATTGAAAAACTTAGAAATATGTAGTCCTCAGAATTAGATGACTGTGATTTGGGGATCTAGGGATTGTGGGTACAGAAATTTGATAACCTAGCAATTTGATGATTCAGAAATTTAGTGACCAAGAAAATTTAGAATATAGAGAAATAGAATTAGACACAGAAACTAAGGAACCCAGAAATTTGGTGTTGGACCTGAATATTTCGATACATAGAAACTCCGGGGATTTAATAATATAAGAAACGTGAGGAACTGAGAATTTCGTAAGAATTTTTTAAACGAGAAATAACCTTAAAAATTTCTTTCTCAGAATTTTTGTATGTAAATGAGTTTCAATATAATATAATTTCTGTTTTAACAAAGAACCGAGATTTGCAGAATTCTTCCCTTTAAGAGGAAACTCGTTTCAGATACGTTAAGTGATTTTATTTTTCGACAAAACTCTCGCTATTCGCGGAATTCCTGATTTCCTTTCATTAACATATAAATTACCATTCTCTAATGCATCTTTTTAACCGTTTTTTAGCGTCTTCTTTAGAGTAACACTAAAATCCACTTTCCTGTGGATTCAATCCTCGCCCTACTTGTACATTTTCAGAATGTCCAATCGGTTCGCTTCCACAAAGTAGTCCTAAACCGTTAAGAGTCAGTTTTCCATTAATGCTACATTTTCTAGTCAATTTATTTTTAGCGAAATCTGCTTCTTGTTACTGAAGTTTTATGAACTTGTTTAACAACTTCATTGTCATTCTTTCTACTTTCGTTCCATAATTTTATAAAATTAGGAAAAGTACTTATGCAACAAATTTTTGTAAATCACGGACACTGTTCATTGTTCTTGTGTAATAGATTTTTATGTAATATTATAAAAAGTTTCATTGTACTTTCACAAAGCGATATATAAACTACTGCATATTTAATTAATTTTTGTAGATATGTGTATATGCATACATTTTGTATTAGATATGCACTATTTGTTTATAAATTTCTGAGCCATTATTGTCACGAATGTTGTATCAATAAATTTTCTGTTATTCGTTTTCTACCTCTGTAACTTTTTGACACTAACATTTAATACACACATAATTTGAAATTGCAAATAAAATAGAAAATTAAACAAACGATTAAAAATAATTGAAAATACACATTAATTCTTTGTTTTAATTAAAAATTAATATTGATTTCAAAAGAAGTAACTTACATTGATTAAATTGATTAAATTGATCAAATTGATTGAATTGAACAAATTGATCAAATTGATCAGATTGATCAAATTGATTAAATTGATCAAATTGATTAAATTGATCAAGTTGATTAAATTGATTAAATTGACTAAATTGACTAAATTGTATAATTTAGAATAAGAAATTTGTAAACAGGTTAAATGACCGTTTTGATAGTACTACCACTAATATCATAATGACGTAATATTTTAATATATAAAATGATATATTGTTAAATTACATAAAATCTTATGCGAAAAGATTGCATTATTTGGCTGTTTCATCTTTATTGAGTTGAATTCATATTTCTGTTGTCTTATACTCGAAAAGTGGCACCACTTTCATGTTTATTGTTCCGTGCTTTCCTCCTCCTTTAAATTGATTATTCGTACTCAAATAAGTTAACTGCACTTGTCGACGACGCCTTTTATTTTCTATCAACTTTTCACAATAACGATTTTTACCGACAAAGTGTTCTGTACATCTAGACGCTGTTGCGACAAATAACATAATGGAATATTCCACTATGAAACTTGAAATGCGTTTTTCTAGACCGTCGCTCCGCTGAATACCAACTAAAGAATTCGATTTAACCTTTTAACGTTCGCGTTCATGTTTCGCACAGACACCTGTGACCTCTGAATTTATACACATTTCTATTTGGCACAGACACACGTTATCGTCACTTCATTTACTTCGATTTACTATATTTTACGAAATCCGCTGTGAATTGCCATTCGCAAAGGATATTGATCAAATAATTAGAGCTATTTCAATTGTTATTCAGAATAGATCCTCGTTGACGGATATAAATTATGTCTACTAATGGAAGAGGTAGATGTTTCGGTATTCTTGACGCTTCTCAGTTTCAGTAATTGATCATTTTATAATTTTAGTGTGTATAAGATTAGAGTTTAAAAATTTAAAAATTTCGAAGTTTCAGAAATTAAAAATATGCAAATTTCAAAGATCATCCAAGATCATTCAAAATGAAAAGTTCAAAGGATCACTGTAGCTTAAAAATTTTGTACGAAAATTTCAAAGTTTAAAAATTCGAAAATTTTACAGT